CACAGGCCCAAGTAAGGCCTACACCATCGGTCGCATCGCCAAGGTGGAGCAGATTCCCTTCGACTCCTCCAAACTCCACAGCGACAACATCATGGCTGCCCAGCACGGCATGGTGGATGACGGCTCTGGGAAAATCCAGGTATGGGTATTAGCCTTACTACAGTCATGCTGTGTCTTAATTTCTTCAAATATGAACGTGTAGATGTGACTATGGTGGGTGTGTCTGTAGATTTGGCGCGTGGAAGTAGGTGAAAAAGTGCCTGTGAACCCATCCACCTATGGACAGTTCTTTGGAGGTGACTGTTACCTGGTGCTGTACTCCTATAACGCAGGAGGGAGAGAGAAGCATATCATCTACACCTGGTGAGGGCAACCTTTTCAGCATGGCTGGATTTACCTGTTAGGGGGGCACTGGGCAAAATGTTGTTGTTGGACCTCTATGGACCCCCCTTTAATTAGGAATAAGTAAGTGCAATATAAACAAAAACAATAAAGGTCTTAGACAGCAGAAGCTTATGTTTATACAAGATAAGCACAAAATATAATAAAGTGAGAAGAAAAAACAGGCAACTCATACACACACAGTCCCACCTAACCTCTTGCCACTTTGTAATCCATTGAAACTTGACAATTATCAAAATATAAATAATTACAGTCTGTCTTTAATTTTGAAACCAGATGGTGGCGCTAGTTGAAAAGATTATGGGATTAGGAAAGTTATTACACTTCATTATGAAGGAACCACAAATATCTTTTCCAAATGTCATGGCAATCCAATAGTTGTTGTGACATGTAACTTTAGAGCAGTGGTAGGCAACCTTTTTGAAATGAAGTTTATTTTAAAATGTTCTTGTTAAGCAGTGTGTCATATCAGCATTAAGATTAACATTATGGCAGCACATCAAAATGTAATTCTCCAACAGATCTCTATGTGTAATTTAGGCAATATGCATAGTAGCATTTAAAAAGAAATTCTCCCATAATTAGGACATTGTAATTGTATATGAGATCACTATGCAAGAAGGCTGCCATCCATATGAAAATATCCATATCTGAGTTGAAATCATATACACGACCATGAGGTGTTTTAATAAGACAGAGAGCACAACTGCCAGTGGCTGCAAAGGTGATTTGGCTTGCGGATGAGAGGGCATTTCAGCATTTCCAAACAGACTTGTTGGTAGTGTGCCTTTAGTTAAGCTACCGTTGCCAATGCTAATCCCCCCTGCCCTAGAGGATCACCATGTCAGTAGATTCATTCTCTGGGGACCAGTGTATCAATGTCCAGTCTCTCTATTTTCATGGCAATCCATCAAATAGATGTCGACATATTTCAGTCTGGGCCAAAGCAGGGTGGACTGACGCTTTTCTCTGAGTGTGGTTAATGATGATTATAAAGAAGAAGTACTTTATTAATCCCTCTTCAGGGAATTCAGTTTGAATTCAACTCAACTTTATTTATATAGCACCTTTCATATAAACATGCAGCCCGAAGTGCTTCACACAGCAAAATAACACAATAACAAACAACAAAATAAACAAAAAAATCTAAATTTAGCTAATCTAAAAATGTATACAATAGACACAATAAAGTGTAAAACACCAATATATAAAAGTCAATATAAAAAATAAAATTAACACCAGGGAGAAGGAAAAGGTAAAAACCATTGATTAAAACTTAAAAACTAGGGCTACAACGCTACTTCAAATTAAATCTGGACACTCAAAAAACATGTGGGTATATTGTATGTGCCAATGGATTTTTATTACAAACAAAGCATATTGGTGTGAAACAAAATTGCAGTTAATCAAATTGCAGTTAATCAAATACTTATTTGTACCAGTGAACCTTTATGGACAGTTGACCAGCGTTGCTTTTCATACTGAATAGTGAAAATCACCATAATTACATCACGGCTTTGCTGTCTTTAGGCAAGGACAGAATTGCACCAAGGATGAACTGGCTGCTTCAGCCTTTCTCACCGTCAACCTGGACGATTCCATGGGTGGAGTAGCTACCCAGGTAAGATATTTACTGTGAAATCAATCAATGGTGTTACTTAGGTCTTTCTTTAAGGGAATGGTTTGACATCTTGGGAAATATGCTTACTTGGTGAGAGTTGATGATAACATTGATACCACTCTCATACCTGTGCATTAAATATGAGGCTAGAGCCAGCAGCAAGAAAGAAAATAAGCATTTTTCCCAAAATGTTTAAGTATTCCTTTAAGGAGTTGCTACTGCCATACAAGCATAGAGTGAGGTTTAGCTTCTGTTGTGTCTTGGCAGGTTCGCGTCACTCAGGGCCAAGAACCTTCCCATCTTGTGAGTGTGTTTAAGGACAAGCCTTTGGTTATCCACCTGGGTGGGACATCACGCGAGTGTGGCGAGAGCAAGCCTGGCAGCACACGTCTCTTCCACATTCGCCAGAGCTCCACCAAAGCCACACGGGCTGTTGAGGTCAGCCTCGTTCATTGCACTGAATGTGCATTAAACTGATGCTTTCTAACAAACCATTCACACCATCCTTCCTCTCTTTGTATCTGACCAACCCAGGTACAGCCCACTGCCTCCTCCCTGAATACAAATGATGTGTTTGTGCTGAAGTCACCTGAGTCCCTGTTCATGTGGAAGGGAAAAGGAGCGACTCCAGAGGAGATGGCTGCAGCTAAGTATGTTGCCAGCCTGCTCGGGGGAGCTGCCACTGAGGTGGAGGAGGCCAGCGAGCCAGGTGAGTGCTGAATAAAGACTTTAAACTCTGCAGGATAACAGTGTAAAATATTTCCAGTGGATAACTGTGGTTTTCTCCTTGTCATCAGCTGGTTTCTGGGCAGCACTGGGTGGGAAGAAGGAGTACCAAACCTCCAAGACCCTGCAGAGGACAGTCAGGCCCCCACGACTGTTTGCCTGTTCAAACAAGACTGGCAGGCTGATAGTGAGTATTTAAAGTCCCTCTCCAGTCAGAAATCAGTTTTTCTTCTCATTCCTACGGTGTGATGTTTGAATGCTGTCTGTGCAGAGTCTGACACTAGAAGGATGTTAAGATTTTAAGGGGCGGAGCCTATAAGGATGATTTGTGACATCACAAATAGTTTGGAACTCCATAGCTTGGTACACATGACGTCACTTCCTGTTACCTTCATTGTCACAAACTCTCAAAATGCCTGTTTTGCGTTGTTTATGGTTGTTCAAACCTGAGGAGCTTTTACTGAGTACCAAAATTGTTGTTCATAAGAGGGAAAAATGCAAGAAATTGATTTTGTGGACAGAGCAGCATTACATTTAGAATATTTTAAAAACCCTTTACCTTGCTGACAGACAGCCCTTTCCAACAGAAAAGTGAAGCCTTGGGTGTTTTAACATGAGGCAGTGGTGGACCAGCAAGTCCCGACAGCTTCAATGGAACTACTTAGTAAGTGTCCTACATTAGGGATTAATGGACACCCTGCAGCCAATCAGAATTGAGTATTCACCCAGACCATGATGAAGTAAAGTAGGAGACATCTTGTGTCCAGCAGGAAAACTTCAAACAAACAAAAAACATATCTGACACATATTATTGTTCCAGGCAGAGTATTTGTGTATGTCGTAATACTTGTCTGGAAGGGATCTTTAAAATTTGTATTCATTAGGGGATTTAGTTACTTATTTTATTTTCATATGATCGTGTATGTCTTTTTTAACTCATTATTTGACAATTGTTTACAAAGACACTTTTGTAAATGTGTACTGCCCTATTTAGGCCGAGGAGGTGCCTGGTGAGTTCACACAGATGGATCTGGCAACCGATGATGTCATGATCCTGGACACATGGGATCAGGTACGTTGCCTTCACTTTTAATCAAACCATTCAGCCTCTGCTCTTGCAGGTCTCATTTTCATTGCTGCTTTTTCCCTAAAACCTCTGTGGTTATTTCTCCCACCAGATCTTTGTTTGGGTCGGAAAGGATGCCAACGAGACTGAGAAAACCGGATCACTGACCATTGGTAAGTCAAGAGCTATAAGGGACGAGGAGAAATCACAGTTGAGACTGTGTTCACGAGCACATCTTCGTTTTCCTTCCAGCGCAAGAGTATGTGAATTCGGACCCCTCTGGCCGCCGCGGTATCCCCATCAGCACCATTAAGCAGGGGGAGGAGCCACTTTCCTTCAGCGGCTGGTTCCATGCCTGGGACCCCAAGATGTGGGACAAAGATCTTTTGCAGTGCCTGCAAGCCCGTGTCAAAAATCAGTAGTAGAAAAACACAAAACATCTGCTAGACACCTGCAAATGTCAGCATTAAAGTTTTGACATCCTATTATGCAACTCTGATACACTTAACATCTCAAAAGGGTGTTTTTTTGAACACATCAAAGTAAGATTCACATTTCGACATAAGAACGTGGACAGAATCGTATAATTCCACACTTGCAGTAGCTCAAATATATTGAATCAAACTTTTTCTGGAATTTTCATTGCAGCTTGTTTTCATTCTGTCTTATGCATTACAACAACAAGCTGTGTGTTTACCATCCAGTGAAAAAACATGATGCACTATTTATCCCAAGTTCAGTGTGGCCTTAAGGGACAGTTTTTAATTTACATGTGTGATAGATGAGATACTGGCATTTTAAATGCCGCAAATTTATTTCTGTTGGCATCAGAAAGAATGTGTATTTTTGCGTAGATTTCCCCATTTTATTGCTTAGTTTGCAAAGACCAACTATTTTGTGAAATTTTGAATTTTAATAAAAGTATGACCTTTTTTGAAAAACGTCTTGTCTGATTTCATTTAACTGTATTAAAACAAGAATGAATGCTTTTTCTGTCAAGCATATTTTTCACATCTTATGATTCACAGCAACGATAAACTTAGCATCATGTCATCATGAGCCTAAATCCTTACTAGGCTTGAGCACCATGTGTAGGCCATTCTTCATGGTAATCTCCAGCCCATGTGCTTCTGCTGAGTCGCAGACCTGTGGATTAAGGAGTGGGCTATAAAAGTGCCTCCATGTACCTCGGCTACTACCCCTCTTTTGTTCTCTTTTATTCTCTGCTGCTGGAGCTGCAAGACAAACACTAACCGGGCATAATGAACCAGAAGGTGGTACTAATCACAGGCTGCTCCTCTGGGATTGGCCTCGCCTTGGCTGTCCACATCGCAAAAGATGAGAAGAAGAGGTTCATGGGTAACTTTGCCATAACTTTACTCCTAAGCCTTGTCTTAATTTGCCATGACTGACAACTGTATTTGTGAAAATGTGTGCAATTTTATTCATAGCTGTACCAACTCAACACTGATATATTATTTTAATATATTAGGGGACAGGGTATTGCAGTTTTTAAGTCAAGGGCCTCCATAGAGGTACTTTGGGAGTACTAGTGAACATTATGCTTTTGGTTTCAGTTATTTTGTAAAATAGAAGAAATAAGAAGAAATAGTCCCAGTGTCTGCAGATTATCTTGAGCAACTGCATGGGACCTTGTTCCTGGAAATTATGTTGCAGTTTAAGTTGTCATTTTTTAATGCTTTGAACATCATAAACAAAATTCTGTTACATCCGTTGTATTGGTGTGGTCAGAAAGTGTCCAATGTCTCTTCATGGACTTTAATTTCACCAGCATTTCTGCATCCAGGTAGGAAACAAAATCACAAATTTTGTGTGTTGTAGTCTATGCCACCATGAGGAACCTAAGTAAGGGTGAAGCGCTGGTGGAGGCAGCGGGTCGGACTCTGGGCAGGACTTTGGAGATCAAACAGTTGGACGTGTGTGACGAGGACTCTATCAAAGCCTGTGTGGACAGCCTACCTGAGCGCAGGGTGGACATTCTTAGTAAGCCCACAATATTTAGCCCAGTGCAGTCAGAAAAAGTGCAGCTATTCATCGTTATTTATTCTGCAATTGCCTTAATAACATTTCTTGCCATGCTTGCCTTCCTCTCACAGTAAGTAATGCTGGGATGGGTCTGATTGGACCCATTGAGTGTCAGTCCATTGATGAGATGAGGGGTGTAATGGACACCAACTTCTTTGGGCTTGTGCGGTTGCTGAAGGAAATCCTACCTGACATGAAGAAGAGGAAAAAAGGCCATATTGTGGTTATGAGCAGCGTCATGGGCATTCAGGGTGAGGCCAGCTACATCTGTTCATTATAAGAGGATTTGTTTAGGGCTTGTTACAATTACAACAGCAACAGTTACAACAATTTTTTTTAATTTGTCTATAATTTTCTTGATTAATCAATTAGTTGATTGGTCCATAAAATGTCAGAAAACAATGAAAGATGCTGATCGGTGTTTGACAAAGCCTAAGGTGATGTCCTCAAATGCCTTATTTTGTCCACAACAACAGTTTACTCTCAGAAACCAGAACATATATATATATATATATATATATATATATATATATATATATATATTTGAGAAGCTGAAATCAGAGAATTTTGAGATTTCTTCTTAAAAAATGTCTCAAAGTGATGAATTGATTATCAAAATTGTTGACAACTAACCAATTAATCAACTAATCGTTGCAGCTCTACATCTGTTTATAGTGGCAAACATTGTATTCAGTGTCTTGCTCTGTGCTCTTTTTCCAGGAATTTTATTCAACGACATCTATGCAGCATCCAAGTTTGCAGTGGAAGGCTTTTGTGAAAGCTTGGCGGTACAAGCCCTGAGGTTCAATCTCAAGTAAGATATACTGATTCTTTTATGATACTTCTGCAGAACAGACACTCCTGCACATTTTGGTCATTTAATGTTGTACTGGTTTCTCTCTGAGATTCAGATTGTGCTTACAAAGCTCAGTAAGGGAAACAACATTCCCCTCCAGAGCCAACATGAACATGCCTGCAAACCAGCACTTCTGCACACTCATAATGCACGACCAGACACATCATTGTCTTATCATGAGAAAATATGCCAGCCAAAATAGAACAACCACAGCACACCCGGTCTGGGACAAGTCCTAACACAGCATCATTCAGTGACTGAATATTAAAGAGAATAGCTCTGCAGGGTGGTTTCAGATGGGAGTACAGGAATAGGGACATCATGTACTTGACATAAAATGTTCCATAGTATATTAAAAGTAACATTTGCTCTGTAGCATTCAGTTATCTTCTAACTTAGCATGTGGCTCTTTAGTTTACTATTGGGAGGGATCCGATTGTGCTTGCACTGTACTTCTCTCCTTTTCTTTTCTCAGTCTCAGCTTGATAGAGCCCGGGCCAGTGATAACAGAGTTTGAGCGTAAAGTCTATGATGAGGGTTTGAAGACTGATCTCACCAAAGCTGACAAAGTGACTGCTGACATGTTCATAAACATCTACTTGAAGAACTACAAACAAATCTTTGAAAGCCTTGGGCAGACTGCTGAGGATGTAGCAGAGGTAAAGTATTATTTGTCCAAAAACATTCTTCTCCTCATTATATATTGCTGACAGTAAGGCACTGAGATCAGTTCAGATACCTATGGCACCTGTGGTTTATGTTTGTGTGTATGTTTCTGTGTTTTTCCTCCCAGCATACACTCAAGATCATCACCATGGATAATCCCCCTTTCCGTCATCAGACAAACACACTTTACACACCTATGACCACACTCAAGTATGCTGACCCCAACGGTGACCTCCCGATTGACACGTTTTACAAAATGGTGTTTGAACACGACAAGGTCTTCAACGCCAGTCTGAACTTCCTCAAACTTCTGCGCTGGAGAAGTCGAAAGAGCTTTACTTTGGAAAAGGACAAGACCAACTAATAGACTCCATGTCATCTTTTTCATCTTTATGGCTAGATACATTCATGCATGCATAATTTTCCTGTGATTTTCCTTTATTTTAGTTTTAGCAAGATTTCCTTGTGATGAAACGCTTTCACAATGACTACTGTGAACAAATAAAAATATGAAAGCTATAAGTAATTGCAACAATGCTGTCCCCTTTTACATGTGTCTGTGAGCTGCAGGTCTTAAACCACACCCTGGTAGGCTACATTCTGCCGACTACCACAACTCTCTTAACTCGTTAAGCCTCCAAGCCCTACATTACACAATATGCAAGTGCTGTAGTAGACAAAACTATGCGGCAGCGACAAATTCAATGCATCTCATCGAGCATTCAGATCGTTACATTGCCTTATTGTGGAGTGATGTGTATTAAAGACATTCTAAACATTTAAAAGCATTTTTTTAAATATGACTTTGCAAACCAGTTGTGTTAGTTGTGTTATCTAGCAGATAGTGACATATTGTGTTTAAGACACAGGATTATAGGCTATTTACACATGGCCTAATCTGGGATTCAGCTGTTTGCTCTGAGCACCTGGATATTTACTGAGAACCATTTTCATAAAATATTTATGAGTGAAGGCAGATAACAGAAAACAATCAGATAAAATAAAATAGAATAGAAATAGAAATTGTGTTATTCTCTAGGCGAACAGTAGGTGGCGGTAAATACTAACTAGGCGACTTCAGACTCTTGGTGACGTCACATCCGGCTCTTCGTTTGACGTTACTTCCGGACAAATTCAAGCTAATGTTGCCCAGAATATAAAATTATAAATGAATTGCCAGCAGCTTTAAGACTGTTTGACATGTTTGTTTCATTGGGTCCATGCAAGGAAGAATAACCTGCAGTGTTGTGGCGACTTTATCTCTACCCAGCCAACTCTTCAGTCACATATGACAGGGGCTGTTCATTGTTAGCCCAGCTTTAGCTTTAGCTTTAGCCATGCTCTCACACTTCGCTTTCACTTGTCTTCTGGGTTGCGGCTTGCTTGCGACGGGGACCACAGCTACTAGCTAGCTTGGTAGCTAGCTAGCTAAGCACAATTTCCCCGGTATTTAAGGCTTTTTGTGTTCTCCTGTTTCTGCTTCAGCGTTTCTTGGACCTCTCGTTTTCTGTCACATTCCGTGTAACGTAGCAGCGGCCGCACGACGGTGGTTTTAACGCGTAAAATACGGTATTAGCTTAGTTAGCAAGCTAGCCAGCCGGCTAACTTTGAAGACACGTCTTTTTTAAAAAAACATTTAAGTTGGTGTTGACGTTATCTTGACTCGTGGAGCATACGTTAACTCCACCGGGAAGGCCTGTCAACGTCTGCTAACGTTTTTCACCACTCAGTCAGGAACCGGAGCTTTAATTTGTCTGGTTTGTGGTCAGTTTCTGCCACGATGGCTTCTTCCTCTGGGAACGACGACGACCTCACCATCCCCAGAGCAGCTATCAACAAGATGATTAAAGAAACTCTCCCTAACGTACGAGTGGCTAACGACGCCAGGGAGCTTGTGGTTAACTGCTGCACAGAGTTCATACACCTCATATCCTCAGAAGCCAATGAAATATGCAACAAGTCCGACAAGAAGACCATATCTCCTGAGCATGTCATCAATGGTGAGTCCTGGTCCATGTATGCTCGGTCTGAGGAGCACAGGAGGGGGTGTGTCCATGTCTCCGCTTTGAATTTTAAACCACAGAAAGTAATTATTTCGCTTTCACCTCTTGCTTTCACACCACAGCCCTCGAGAGCCTTGGTTTCGCATCATACATCACAGAGGTGAAAGACGTCCTGCAGGAGTGTAAAACTGTTGCTCTGAAGAGGAGGAAGGCGAGCTCTCGACTGGAGAACCTGGGTATCCCGGAGGAAGAGCTCCTCAGACAACAACAGGAATTGTTTGCCAAGGTATGATCTGAGTTACAATACAACTTAGTAACAAATCTACAGTTCTCCATGTACTGATGTTGTGGATGAGCACCCCCATATTACCGTTCATCTAACGTACAGCTGTGGGCTGGATTTCACCGTATGATCTATTGCAATGTGTGGTGTGTAATCTTGTTGTAAATGGATGTTCTGGTCCACTGACCTCCCAAAGCATGTATCACATATACCCACTCACACACACATCCATACACTGGTGGCAGAGGCTGCCATGCAAGGTGCCAACCTGCTCAGTAAGAGCGATAAAGTGCTTCCTGTCCAAAGTGCTCAGTGATATTAAGTTCACCCCTACACACACTCAAAACATTGGTGGCACAGCCATCGGGAGCAGTTTGGAGTTCAGGATCTTGCCCAAGGACAATACCTCACAAGAAATACCCCTCAAGTTAATTGAATGAGTGAATTCTTGAGAGTATTTAAAACACTTTTTGGCAGGGTCCCCCCTTGTACACAGTTTGAAAACGTTATAATGTATTAATATGTGATGTTACACATTACAGTTATGTGTAAGAAAGCAGACATTTAAATATGCAGTATTCTGGTTAATAATTTGTGATTACAGTAAAATGAACATCACATTGGATAAAAATGTGCTAGTGTAATAATAGCCAAAAATATTAAAAGACCTGCAGTCCCTGCAGGGAGAGTTATGTTATAAGCAAGTACGTATCGTAACTGTAGTGTAAAATATGAAGACAATGAAAGAGGTGGTATTGGGGATATGCTTTATCTATTTACTGATTTGAAACATGCTTTCAATTTCATAGAAAAAAATTGTGTGATGAACTTATAGAGCAGCAGGACAACTTTGTCCAAGTTACTGAGCCGACTCAATTCTAATTCTTATGATCTTTGTTATTGCACACTAACATTTTAGCACACCCACTAGAATGGGTCATTCCCCTGTTTCACTACACATATTGAGAGTGTGTGACAAATAAATCCTTAAACCCTGAATATTACTGTAAAGCAACCATTAAGTATCAGAAAATAGTAGCTGTTAAGGATACACCTCTGCCTCAGTGTCAGAACTAAACATAATGAAGTATCATAGCATCATGTGCAATGGTTCTGTAGGTAGGTCTGTGGGGGTCCAGGCTTAGGTGTGGTGCAGCATGTAACTGCTTGCAAGGGCTGCAGAGAGGCTAGTCTAGCATATTTTGTGTGTGCAACAAGACACAGTTTTAAAGAGCTGCAACTCAGATTTACATGTTGTGATGTAGCAAAGCCTTTTCCAATGCAAACTGTCTCCTTGCTTAGCTGTTGCTCTTTAAGTGAATGAGAGATTACAAACATGTACTTTGTACGTATTATAAATGAACACCAATGTCTAATAATGCATGGCACTTCATCTAGTGTTAGACTAATCAATAAATCAATGTCTTTGCAACTTACTGTATAATATAATTCAGTAATGTATTTCAGAAACCTTGGGATCATTTTTCTCATGTCTAATGCATACAGTAGCATAGTATTGAGTCAAAAATACTGTGATATTTGAGTTGCTTAGCTCTAATTTGACATCAGATATATCATCATAATGATTGCCTAATAAGCCCTGCGTTGGCCTTCCCTTATCTGATGTCTCTGCTTTGGTTTGACTGTGTGTATGCAGGCGCGGCAGCAGCAGGCAGAGCTCGCCCAGCAGGAGTGGCTACAGATGCAGCAGGCCGCCCAACAGGCACAGATGGCAGCAGCATCTGCCAGCGCCGCCCAGCAGGCCGGTTCCTCTCAGGATGAAGATGAAGAGGACGACATGTGATCCCAGGACGTCGTTCGACTTGTCCGAATCCCTTCCTGGGACCGTTTTGGCACACAAATCTCCCAGTGCTGTCATCGACAGAGACATGAGACATGTTTGACCGCTGGTATACATCAGTGTGACATGGATAAATGCACATTGGAACGGACAGTGAAGAGAAAGATGAAGGGGGATTTCAAAATCACCGCACGTTCAGATACCAGTACCTGAAAATGATTTGGATTGAGAAGGCTGTTAATAAAGTTTTGGATTAATCTCTTCTTTCCCCCCTTTTTTCCATTTGCTTCTGTTTAATTATGTCTTGACATTATGTTGTGAGTAATTTGTAGATTTCTGGATGTGTTGTGGACACAGAAGGCCAACGTTGCCTGGGATATGTCAGTGAGTTTTGGTGATAATGCAGCAAGTGTTCGCTCCTTCAGGTACTGCACCAGATAGCTTACTTCTGTTATCCGTTGTGCTTGATCACTTTTGGTGGTTTAGGAGAACGGCTCTAGAATAATTTCGGAGCTGTCGGTTTCTCCTTTCATCATGGTGAATTTTTACAGAGACTTTTCATTTATTCCCCTTTAGTATATTTGTTTAACAGAGGATCATTTTTAGGGGTTGTGAATATTGGAATAAAGATAGATAAATTGACATTTTGTTTAAATTTTAGCACATTCAGATACTTTATGTTGAATTTGCTTTCTACCTTGAACCAACCACAGTATTGATAATTACCCACACCGTTCCGAAACAGTATATTTTCATCTCATAGAACCAAAGATAGAGGACAGACTAACAACCCAGAGTTACTGTTTTTTTAAAGGTGTAGGTGCTACTGTGATTCTCGTTGCTGACTCTGGGTCAGTATAAACAATGTTAAGGATTATTAACCTATGACTTTGTAAGATGCTTTGATATCCAGACTGAATTTGTTATTTCCCCTCTCCTCGGGTGCAGTATCAAACATTTGCATTGTGACTGTGGTCAATCCTCAGTGTAAAGACAAGTAACCTTAGTTGTGACACACATTCACTCGCCTATGCTACAAAGTTGTATTCTTTAAGCAATAAAGGAGTCATGTTTTATAGACAATTGTTTTGTGTTTTTTAATCATACAACAACAATTTTTTTTTTCTTATTATGAATCCAAACACATGATGGTTATACCCCCTCCCCCCTCTGCACTCACTGTTTGACGTTGATTTCTTCCTCCTCCTGGGAGAGTCGTGTGTGAGCCGGTATGCGGACAGCAGAGGAGCACTTTACCTGCTGGGACCACAGGCTTGTAGTTTCAGGTTAATAAATTCTCTTTTAGAAATGGCAGGAGCAATCATAGAGAACATGAGCACTAAGAAACTGGTTATCTTGGGATTCTTTATTCTTGTTTTCCAAGTTATTTCCATTTTGGTTGGAGCACTAATTGGTAAGTTGCCAGATTTTTATTACTTTGTTTATTAAATTGTTGTAATTAGTAATTGTATTATGGTTTGTGTTGGAAGTGCCCCAAAAATCTATATTTAAACAGCTGTCTCTCGGTGTGGCTAAAAAAAGAACCTTTATTCTGTCTGTACTTAACAGAACATAAACATGTTTCTGACAGATTATTCATCTCTGCCATAGCTCCCAGTCCTACCAGTGCCATTCGCTACTTGGCTACCAAATGCATCAATCACCACAGGGAACGCGGCTGGCTTGTACCGTGGGGACCAAATCAGTGCCAGCAGATCCACAGTTTCGATGAGCCACTGGCAAAAACACTGGATGCCAATGACATCGTGTTTGCTGTGCATGTACCTCTTCCTAACAAGGAGATGAGCCCCTGGTTCCAGTATATGCTGGCTGTTCTACAGTTTGACATTGCTTTCAAAATGATCAATCAGATCGGTAAGAGTCTGTCAGTAATTTAAAGTCCCCCTCCAGTCATAAATACGATTTTCTTCTGGCTCTACAGTGTGCTGTTTGAATGCTGTATGTGCAGAGTCTGACACTAGGAGGATGTTTTCACATTCATCTGCTGAAAGTGGAAAGTTTCTCTGTGCTCATTGAAAAGCTGATTTTTAAGGGGCGGGGCCTACCAGCATGATTGATGACATCATTAATAGTTTGGAGGTAAGTCCTGGTCCACTATACAACTTGTACAGTGTGATGTACAAACTTGAAGCCACCAGTGCACATCCACTGAGAAGCAGGAGTAGATGATTTTTCTGTGGAAAACACACATCAGACACATATTATAGTTCCAAGCAGACAATTTGTGTAGTTTTGTTTTTCTTTAAGTTTTTATTGCCTTTTTATTGATAGTGACAGCTGAAGGTAGACAGAGAGAGGGGATGACACGCAGCAAAGGGCCACAGGTCGGATTGGAACCCTAGGCCGCTGCAGCAAGGACTCAGCCTCGGTACATGGGACACCAGCTCTACCGACTGAGCTAACCGCGCACCTGACTATTTGTATGGTTGTCTGAAAGGTCCAGTGTGTAGGATTTAGTGGCATCAAGCAGTAGAGTTGCACATTTTGACTTTGTTGTTTCAAAACAAGAATACCCCTATGTACAGCCAGTGTTTGGTTTGTGCCTTCTGGATTCGATTCCTATATGCAGGTGATCATACACTAATGAAAACACACCTATGCCTATTACAGTATATTTTATTTCTGCTGCTGATAGAACCTCTTAAATGTTACACACTGGACCTTTAATCCAAGTCCATTCTTTTGACTGTTATCTAATAAAGCCAATCGTGTCCCTGTCTGTTTAGAAGAGGATGTTATCATCACTATTGATGCTGGCCTGGCATACAGGGATGATTTGATATCTGACTGGACCACTGAGTTTCGCTCGGTGGAGCAGAGGCCGCTCAGGTGCACATTCCCAGTCCCTAAGGTGAACCTGCATAACTGCATTTAATACATGCAAATAAAGTCTTTCACATTTGCTTCTGCTTAACTAAACTGTAACAGTCCACGTTGTTGCAGACATATGAAAATGAAGGCCGCTTTTATCACTGTGACCCAATACCATTCATGGAACTGGGAAGTGTGGCCCACAAGTATTTTTTGATTAACCTGCGCTTGCCAGTGAATGACACAGTGAATGTTGGCATCGGAGAAATAAAGGACATCCAAATAGTGGTGAGTTTAATTCTCATAGTTTAACTTTCATTATATGTTTCGATTGAATTCAGCTGTTACATTCAAACATTTAATGTCCCTCTTCCCTAAGGGCATCCACCAGAATGGAGGTTTCACTACAGTGTGGATCAGCATGAAGACTGTGTTCAGTCCCTGGATATTTGGGGCAACGGTTTGGTACTGGCACAGGCTCAGCCTCATGGCAAGACCTCCAGTGCTTTTGGAAAGGTATGAGCCAAGAAGGAAGAATGGTTAAATGTATTAATCAAACCAACTGCTTTGTAGTAGTAATGTGAAGCTATACCAGGAATATTGTATGGAAGCCTAATGTGTATTAAATAAGTTACACATTATGATGAGTGTATAATGATAAACAATCACTGGAATACATTTGATCCCCTGAGAGAGAGAGAGAGAGAGAGAGAGAAAGAGAGAGAAAGAGAGAGAGAGAGAGAAAATCAAAATGTCTTTTTTAGAAAGTCTTTTGTTTTGTTCATAATGGTATCTTTCAAACTGACACTTTTATTTCATGTTATTTCATAATGTCACTTTCATTTTGTAAAGCTAGTTTGTTGCTAGTTAGCTAGTTGGCAGTTGTGAGGGCGACTAGGGGGACGTGATTAGTTGAATGGTGAGGGGGTGGGAATTGGTGACAGCTTCACTGTCAGGAAAAGTTACATTATGAAATGAAAAGTGATTAATGAGTAATAAAATATATATTATATATAAATATATAAACTCCAGTAAAACTTGATAGAAAAACAATACTGAGCTGAGTTTTAGTAATTTAGCTATTTTTTTTTGTTTATTTATGTTTTGTACTTATATTTTGTCTTTATTTCATAATGTCTTCATTTGTTATTTACTTGATATTGAACCCTTTGGGCCTCCATACAATCCCTCCATTTCTACATATGAACAGGTTTTAGATATATTATTGCAGACTGACTACACTATCATCTCAAGGTTGAGTGAAGTTATACAACACAGCTTCATTGCTCTTAAGTTAAACCACTGAGTGCAGCCCAGAGTGAACTTAAAGCCAGAGGTAAACCTTCTGTCGTACTTGTAAGAGGTATACACTGCTTCAGGGCATGGGTAGAGCAAGGAAAATGAAAAATGCTTAATCTTAAGTGCACCATTGGTCTGGTAGAACCAGGGCAATACTCTGCCTGCAGCAGAAAGTTACTTTTTTTTAAGAGCAAAGTCATAGTATGTATTTGCCTTGTACAGAGTGATTTTTGCTCTGGGTATCTCTATGACGTTCCTGAACGTGCCGGTGGAGTGGCTGTCTCTGGGCTTTGAGTGGACGTGGATCCTGCTGTTTGAAGATGTCCAACAGGGCGCCTTCTACTCTGCACTCTTCTGTTTCTGGATCATCTTCTGTGGTGAACACCTCATGGTAAGCACCTTTTAGTTGTTCTCTCTTCCTTACTTTTCTCCATACTTCATGATAGTTATGCCTTTCCTTTTTATCAACAAATTTAGGACCAAAGTCAGAGGAATCAGCTCTCAGCATACTGGTGGCAGGTTGGACTGGTGGTGTTTGGCTCATCTGTTCTACTTATATTTGACCTGAGTGAAAGGTAATGACAAGGCTGCTTTTAATGAGGTCTGTAGTGTTATGATTATATATTTCTGTAAATATGTATGTTCTTTATTTTTTATTTTTTTATTACTTATAAAGGGGGGTTCATTTGACCAACCCTTTCTACAGTGTTTGGGCATCAGAAACTGGGACGAGGGTGGCTGTATCCTTTAGATATTTATATTGTATTATAAAAAAGTCTGATTTTGGCTTCCAAGAACATACTTTAAAGATCCCCTCCAGTCATGTATTACAACCATCGACATATAATAGATGACATGTCATGTCTCTTCACTTCCTCCCACTGTACAAAAATGAAGCCAAATATCCCAGAAATGGCTGCTGCCATGTTTTACCATTTGGAGCCAGAGTCTGCATAGCAGTGATTGGGGTCAGCGCTGCAGTATCGAGGTCCCGCCCAAACATCTAGCCAACTCAGTCACAAAAATTAACACTTAAACAAACTTCAGCATAATAAGAATTATCTAAAATGCCAGAAACCATCTTCGGGAAATTTCTTTTTGACGTATACTTTGATTTTTTAATTTGGCCCATGTCCCATCCGATCCCTTTATGACCAACACTGCAATCAGCCACCAGGGAGCAATTGAGATGTTTTAGCTACTCTTTTGGAGAGCTCTCATGTCGTCCATCTTTATATATGTCAATGATTATAAGAAGATGATGTCTCCTACTTAACTGTAAAGTCCATTCTCAGTGGATGTGCACTGGTGGCTTCAAGTTTCTACATCACACTGTACAAGTTGATACTGGACCAGGACTTACATCTAAACTCACTATGATGTCACAAATCATGCTCATACCCCTTAAAATCAGATTTCCAATGAGCACATTTCAGCAGATGAATGTGAAAACATCCTTCTAGTGTCAAACTCTGCGCATACAGCATTCAAACAGCACACTGTAGGAACAATAAGAAACACTGATTTCTAGGTGGAGGGGGTCTTTAAATGTAGTTCTCTCTGTGTCTGTGTCTTTTCCTTGACTGTTATCCCAGATTACCTTCATTATTGTGGCAGGGATTTCTGTTTGTCTGTATTTCCTGTCCCTGTGTGGCGTGGTACATTGTGTGTTCAGGAACATTGGTGGGAAAACACAGCAACTTCCTGCAATGCCAGAGGCTAGGAGACTGCGTTATAAGGTTTGATTGGTTTATTTTAATACCTGAATCACAAATAAAAAAGTAAAACATTGGCAGTAAATTATACAATAGGTGAAACAATATCCCGTCTTTCACTCTTGCTGGTTTTGGCAGGGAATAATCTTCAGGTTCAAGTTTTTGATGCTGGTAACACTAGCATGTGCAGCCATGACTGTCATCTTCTTCATCCTAAATCAAGTAAGTCTTAACTGCTGGTTTTATGACCTTTATGTTATTACTTACCTCAGCTCTTAAAATGATTTTAGCTTTATTTATTTTTCACCAGGTCAGTGAAGGTCACTGGCACTGGGGAGACTATACTCTCCAAGTCCACAGTGCTTTTCTTACAGGGATCTACGGCATGTGGAACCTGTATGTTTTCAGCATTATCTTCCTCTATGCCCCCTCCCACAAGCACAACAAAAACAAGTCAGGAGACAGTCAACAAACAGGTCTGTAGCATTTCAAGTTCACTGTTGAAATCCAGTTCTCAAATGAAAAAACAAATGAAAGAGACATGCAGTGTCCTGTATCAGTAGCTGTTTGCCTAACATTATGTTCACTATTAACAGATACGCTGGAGAAGCCAGAAAGCCAAGAGAGCCGGCTGACATGTGGAGAGCAGGGGCCAACAGAGACCTACAGGATCACTGGGAAGGTGGCTGAGGAGTAACTGCCAGGCTCAGTGTAGTTTAGAAAACATGTTTTTTTGTGTTATTTCATTATAATAGCTCTACTGTGTTTAACCCATGCAGACTTTCTAGAATAATGTGTGACATGACACAAAACATAGATAATAGGGAACAGTGAAAGTTATAGGGAGGTGCTGTAAGTCAGTAGATCCTCCTAAATGATATACACTCTACCTTTAATACATCAAATAATTGAGAGGGTATTTATTATCATTCTCAGATCCTAGTCTTTATTTTCCCTGTAATCAGTATGTTATATGATTATTGATATCATATTGTACATTTTCTGGGAAGTTATTAGGAATCTGAGATGGGAATGTTTGTTTTTGGCTAAACCATTGGATTGATAATATAAAAGCACTTTATCACACTTATGCAAAGTACTGTAAATTGAATACTGTCTCTAACCTGTCATGCTTATTGATTGCTGGAACACCCAGAGATATAAAGAGATAGATACTTCAATATAAATAATATGGACACATTTCTGGCAGAAAAAAAAATTCTCTTATGGTGTGCTTATTAAACTAAATTAGTGTCACAGTGTCAGAGGGCAACCCTCGCAGTAGCCAGAAGGCCGAATCAGTGAATCTTACAATGCAACCCTCGCAGTAGCCAGAAGGCCGAATCAGTGAATCTTACAATGCCTAGAATACACTGATGTCTGAAGGTTTTTTTGTCTTTCCTTGGATTTTTTTTTCTTTTTTAGAAAAAATAGATTCACACGTTACAGTATGTGATGTGATTATTTGTCTATTAGCCCGGTCTCCTGTCAATCAACTGCAGAATCAATAAAATGTAATTAGTTATATGCTTTGTATCTAGACTTAAACATACAGTGTTTGGTGTATTTTCTATTAAATGACCACATTCATTCAGACATCATATAACCTACTGCCCTGTGCTTTTCTGACATGCATGTCAACTACAAAATATTACTCAGTAAATCTATTTGTAAAAAAGTATATAATAAGTATATAAATATATCAAAATCACAGAAGACATTTGGTTTTATTTGATGTGACCAATTGTTTATGCTGAATATGTAAAAAGGATTTGATTTGCACTGAAAAAGATACTTAAAGAGAAAAATTTACATTTTTGTGGCTGCATTCATTTTTTTATTAGAATAGATTAGCTAGATAAGATATATATTTTTAGTGTTTGAAGTATTCAGATTAGATTACATTTTTTTTTCATTTGCAATGGAATTTGTTTTCAGTAACTGACTACATTTTAAAGTTATCTGAACTAACACTGGTAATCCAGACATGAATGTCTGTAAACCAGGCAACTCAAACTCAAATTTCTCAAATTGCCTTGGGGCCACTGCTGGTATTGTCATCTCACAGGAGGGCCACTGCAACGTTCAAGTGCTTCATGAAAGCGTTACATCTTACACCTAACACATATACCTCTCATCCCCCCATTCCTACAACACACACACACACACACACACACACACACACACACAAATGCATTAATGCTATGTCCTGTTGCCTTCCCCAGAGTTCCCCCTTTCCCTTCACAGCCATGCCAAAAGTTCAGTTTTTTAAGCTTGATAGAGCCTCATAGATGCACTTCCAATCCTCAGTGAATTGCTTGGTTTTGTTGTTATCCTCAGACAATGTCTCTTCTATGTTCAAATATTACCTCATCTTTTCTTTCCATATCTGTAAAGTAGGGGCCTTTATTTTTCCCCAGTGTTTTAAAATGAGCTTCATATACACAAGGGAGGAGAACATAATCTGCCATCCCACAGGATATCTTATTTTCTTCAGAGAAATACACAGATCAGCTGCAAACTGCATTTTTGTTTTACAATTAATATTTGATATTTATGTCATATGTCATGTTGTTTGCAGCCCAACAAATAAAGCCACAAAACCTGCTCCCTTGTTATCAGCGCATTGACTTTTTATACTTTTAAATTCTTTTATAATAGAGTTGTGTTTTTATTTTAATTGTATGTGAAGAAGTAGTTTAAATTGGTACTTGGTCCCTTTTCTATAGCTGTATGTACAGAATGGCCTGGTGGCCAAACGCGCCGGCAGAGGGCGCTGTTGTCTCCTCCCAACAGGAGAGAAGAAACCCAGCCCAGCAGCTCAGCAGCCGCCAGCAGCAGATGACTGCCTCCGTGTCTCCTGTCTCTGCGCTCCACATCAACAGGACTCAATGTTTGTCCTCCGCGTCCTCAAACTTTTCATTCCACACAACTAGTGCGCATGTTTTCATGAAAGGAGCTCCACTGGCGTCGTTTCATGGCTCTACTTTGAAGGAATCAACAACTCTGTCGGATCCGAGAGGCCAGGTGAGTATCAGCACACAGATTACACCAATAATCTTTTAGCAAGTGTCTGTAACATGATGACATGACAGCGGTGTGTGTGGACAGTAATGCTGTGGTTAAAAAACAGCAGCAGGTACAACTGTGGCCTCCAGTCCATCAGCATTACCCTGACAGCAGTTTGTGGAAACAAGTGTTTGTTCTGTAAGTGTTAGTCAGATTTACATGCTGGATACAGTCTCTTCTGGGTGGTAAACAGGTGTTTTAAAGCAGCATGAGTGACATACTAAAGAGGAATAAAAGAGAAGGAAATGACTTGCTTCTTCTCTCAGGGATACCATGGACGAGTGTCTCTGAGAAGCTCAAGTATGTTGTTAAATTTTCTTTGAAAGTCGGTGGATATCAGGGCATTTTATTCTCCATGCAAAGCCTACTTGGTGTTAAATAGCTTTCCTTCTTTAAAGTCCCAATAATAAATCAGGAAGAAATCAAACGTTTAGGCTGTGCTTGGAAACACACTTTGGAAAGTTAGGAAAATGAGAGAATACAGTATCACATCAGATCCACAGTGGGGACCTTGGAACTCTTTAGTGAAACCTTTTAGTTAGGACGATTGACCTAACCATGATCTCACCCCAGGTTCTAAGTTTCAACAGGTGAACTAAGAAAAAGAGACAACACCCTTATGATCTCTGTTTTAAAAGTTCTCTGCAAAACATCCTGCCATTTGTTTTGTCACAATCCATACATTTGTATAAAAAACCTGCAAGATGACACATTGAGAACTTTTTTTCTCGCTCAAAACCAACAGATCTTTTTTTGAAGGAAAAACAATTTAGTGCCCCATATATGGGAACAGGATTAAATGAAAAACAGCCTTGCCTTATGGCCTACAGCTGAGATGGGTAGTGTTGGTTTGGGAAAGAGCTGAAAATGTAATTAATTGACAGTAAATTGATTGATCGATTAAGTCATTTTCCATAGTCAGTTTTGGTTTGTCTAATGCATGGATTTACTACTACAACTCTATGTGTCAAATTAAAGTAAATTTGGAGGTTTAGAGTAGTGGCTGGGGCCTTTTTGAAGACGTCTCCTGGGGCTTCAGGAAGTTGTTCTGGACATCAATATTTCTGTTGACACATTGTGGACCAAATGAGAAATGGATTTGTTGACACAATATTTGTAAGTTTTTGCAGATTCATTCACATTGAATTCTGTTGTCATTGTGACGCTGATATACAAAATCTAAAGGGGGAAGACATCAGTAGTTGTATTATCTTAGATGTCCATGCAGGTATCCAGAAACCAAAAATACTGAAAGGCCAAATGTTGTTTTAGGTTTTGTATACCTGACTTATACCAAATACTTTGGAATATGTGTTATTAGTACAATTGAAATATTGGAGCCATCTTTTTAAATTAAGCAGTCTATTATATGAGTAATTGCACTCTTACAGAAAGTTCCTATCTTAAAGGTCATGTGTGTAACATTTAAGAGGATCTATCTTAAGTCTTAAGTTGAGATAGGAAGAGTCTAAGATGGGATTTTTCCCTTTTTGGTATTACAGATGCAACTCCTAACTAAATTTAGGAATCCCATCTTATCTTACCTTATACTATCTGCCTGTTACCTAGCAACCTATGCTACTTTTCTCATCTCGCTGAGCTAAACAACTATGTAACTGCTTTTTCTCATTGAAACATAAAAATGTAAACTTTTAGAGAAATAACTCTTTGTAATATTTTCATAAACTTTAACAGTATCCAGACAGTAGTAAATAAGAGAGATAGACGAAAGCAACCAATCAGAGACAAGAAAGATAGTTGTTGCGTCGATTCCTAGGTTGTCAAATAGTGACACTTTGGGTTGATGGCCTGAAGCTTCAGGACCCAAGTGTCTGTTTTTCTCGGTTCTGATTGGTTGTTGTGAAAGTTTCAGCAAATACAGTGTGACATAAAGGTTATTTTTATAAAAGTTATCTACTGCAGCATTATGATTTGGGGAATTTAGGATGCTTGTGTAATACACTTTTCTTATCTTAAGTTGGATAGGAACTGTTTAACTGTAATGGCTTTTGTTCCAAAAACAGCTCCTAACTCTAATCTCCATGGTTACCAAACAGTTAAGATAGGATCTACAAGTTAGGAAGTTTCTGTAATGCAGCTACTAAACTTTGCAGTGCCGGTTAATGCGTTTGATTTTTAAAGGCATCTTCTGCTCTGACAAGAATAGCCTCTGACTGAGATAGCTGTTGGTAGCTTGTTTCACTCCCAGGTGTACCCATGACATTATGGTAATAGTGATTTTTACTGTCTGAACAGATGCTACCCTGTGTTTACTTCCACATGCAAAAATTACAGTAGCAGGAGCAACAAGTGGTAACTAGAGCTCCAGTGCTCAGAACAACTTCATTCATCCATTCCACCCCATTCAGTTCATCTTTGTCAGGAAAAGGCTCCCAACCTTACCATGTGAATTAAACAACCAAGATGTGAACATGTTAACAGTATGTATCAAATTGATACATTTATAGTGTAATGTTTCATATTTTTGGTTACTTGGACATCTGTTCCTGTAAATCTTAATAATCGTAATATATGATCATGGCACTGTGTTTCAAACAGAATCTGTGTTTTGTTCTAATATTTACCAGTGAAAGCATATAATGTGCTGTGCAACAGACCAGAAAAGAGAAGGCATCACAGTGTTCTTAAAGGCATACCAGAATATTTTTCAGTTTATCTTTTCAGCAACATGGCTTCTGGCAGTTGAGTGTGACCCCACCTGAGTGGGTTTCTGGCACTGACGTGGGTTTTTTGGCTGCGTTGCCTGGTTACACCACAGTCACTGGCGCAGACCTTAGCATGGTTTAATCTCGTGAGAGCGTCGCCCCCCCACTCTCCCCCTTCCTCCCTCTATCCCTCGACTCAAATTCCACGCTTGGCCTCCGGGGAGCTCGTCTGTGCGTCACTGCTCTGGTCACAAAGACCTTCAGAGAATGCTTCCAGTCAATACAGTGGAGCCACCGCCGTCAGCCTCCGGCCCCTGTTAGTCCACGGCAATATGTGAAAAATGTTCTACTGCCTTGACACACGTCAGAGCTCTCTCAGCCTCCTCACCGGAGCGTATCCCAGTGATGAAGGTATTATACAGTCACTGAGTATGGGTGGAAATGTCACCCATATGAGGCTGCTTAGTACACAAAGCATTACCTGCTTATCAACCAGTGATGAAGGCTTTCATAATGGACCTCTATTTGTTATATTGGCTTTCCATTTTCAACTTGATAGTATGTGTACATGCTCAC